GAGGAGAGCATTGTTTGAAAAGATGCATCACAAAGCTGTTCTGAGTTTATTTTTGCTTCTATGCCAGAAAATAAAAACCCTGCTTTGTTTAATGTGATCAGTTTCCTGTCTGCAGTTGTTAATGTGTCCAAGTACAGTAATAACTTTCCTGATGCTATGAAAAATGTTATTTTCCCGATGCAGATGCCACGCAAATGCCCCAGAGCTCGAGAGCAGCTTGCAGAAGCATCCGTGATAAATGCAGCGCTGTCAGGGTGGGAGGCCTCCGAGACACGCAGACAGACTGCGGAGACTTCTGGCCGTTCTGGGACCCACAGGGCTGGTGCGCTCTCCTGCTGTATCAAAGCGCTCAAGCCTTTGTTTGAAAACATGCCAGAGTCTTCCCTGAAACTCTGTCCTGAGATTCCTAACTCGGTGTAGCCCAGCATTCAAAGCTTCTCTTCTTTTGTTTTCAGAGAGACTTTTACTATAGGGCATGTGTGCTCGCTGGAGAGACAGAGACAGAGCATGAGAAATCGCCCCAGGAGGGATGGCCATGCCACACCCCTTCTCCACCCTCCTCTTAGGATCTTGGGCACGCACGCACACATGCTCAGTGTGAGTTTGAACCTGCCAGGTCTGGGACTTGAACCACGGTCACCTATGCAGGAGAGCCCTCTTCAAGGGAGAGCCTTCACCGTAGAGAAGCCACACCCCCGATGAGCAGCTGCTCCACAGCACAGCACACGGCAGCCCGGGACACGAGAGACCAGAAAGAGCGAGGTGACGGAGCACCCCCAGGAGCCCTGGAACGCCCCCCTTCCGGAAAGGCAGTCTCTCTCCTGTGAGACTCAGAAGGAAATGGGGGACTGGGAACGACGGAAGGGGCCGAGTGGTGTTCCACAGTGGCGCGGAATTCGGACGTGTAAGGAACTGTGTGTGGAGGTGCGGAGGTTTCCGAGTCGCGTGGAGGGTGCAGCCTGGCTGCTTCTCGCTGCCAAGAGCAGAACGTGAGAGGGAGAGGGAGACTGAGGAGTCGAACCACTATTGATCAGAGGCAGGACCGTCTGGCCCGAGCGTCTCGTCTTGCCAGATTGCAAAAGGTGCTAAATTCAGGACCCCACTGCCCGAAGACCGAGCCCTGGAGTAAACGCAAAGGGCGTAGGGCCTGTGACCTTCGGAGCCACTCGGTCACCTCCGCAAAAGAGAGAGCAGCAGGCAGTAATTCCAACCCACACGGAGACGAAGCCACCAAAGGTCCAGACCCCTTGGATAAATACGGCAGTGTGAATGTATTTTGCTTACGATGCTGTTTCTTCGCTTGTCTAACCCATAAAACAACGGCACGCGTGAGAAGTTACATCCGTGAACTGATGGGCTCCTCAGGTGTAGACAGTCCGTGGTATGTGATGAAGAGCAGAAAGGTGGGGTGAGGGACAGGACCTATGTGGAAGCAAAGTTTTTATACGCTCTTGAAATTAAGTCCGTATTAATCGGAACTTTTTTCTGAAAGGTAACGTGTTCACTAGCCCAGCTGACATGGACAGAAACCGCAGCCCGCAGTGGCACACGGCACCCGTCAGGCTCACACGGAAGGGCCTTCAGGAAGCGCCATCATGGTGTAAACCAACCTCGGTAAGCTCACAGAGACTGAGACCAGGAGGGAGTGCTCTCCAGCCACCATGGCGTCACATCACAGATGGAGAGCGGAGCTCACCGGTACGGAGTCCTAACAGACCCTCCTAAGTAACAGGGAGGTCCAAGCGGGAGCCACCCGGGGAACAAGAACTGACTTCGAAACGAGATCGCGAGTGTGAGCTTGGTTTAAAATAGAGGGAAATCAATTACTTTGATTCTCTGTTCATAAAGAACAAAAATAACATTATCGCTTTGATAGATGCCGAAAATGCTCCGCAAGACATTTTCATGATAAAAACGGCAAGAAAAACGTGGGGTAGAAGGTCCGTTTTGCAAACTGATTCACAACTCACAGCGCACGGAAAGCGGACACTGGACACCTTCCTTCTCCAAATGAGACGACAATGCCCACTCCCGCCACTTCCAGTCACAGGCAATGGGATGTAGAAGCGACACAGACATCCGCGTGGGGAAGGAAGAACTAGCGCTCTATTTACAGGTGGCGAAATGTGGTACACGGGCAACCCGAAGGATCCACAGAAAAATTATTAAAGACAATAAAGTTCAGTGACATTTCGGCTCACAAGATCAATGCACAAGAGCAAATTATATTTCTGTACTGTAGCAGTGAACAGTATGATACAGAAATTACAAAAACAATTCAAATACAAAAATAATAAGGAACCCCCAGATGGCACTTGCCAGAAATTGGCAGTACTATTTTAAAACTTACATGGAAATTCAAAGGACCCAGAATAGCCCAAACAATCTTAAAAAAGAATGAAGTTGGAGGACTCACTCATGCCAATTTTTTTTTTCTGTTTAATTTTCTATAGGCCATGTGTACTTGCTGGGGAGAAAGGAGGAGAGAGATGGTGAGAAAGTATCCCCTGAGGGGTGGCCACAGTGCAGCCCTTTCCCCTCTGTTCTCTCAAGACTGGGGGCACACACGCACCTGACATGGTTCTCAAGCCGCGGGGTCAGGAACTGAAACCACGCAGTCGGTCCTGTGGGACCCGGCTGCCTTAACCTCTACGCCACGGGCTGGCCCACCACGTCAATGTTAAGACTTACTAAAGAGCTTCAGTAATCAAAATAGAATGCTACTGTCATAGGCTACACATACGGTCAAACGAAGTCCAAGAGCCCAGAGATGACTCTCGTGTGTATGGTCAAGTAATTTTTGATGAGGATGCCAGGATAGTTAACTGGAGGGAAGAACAATCATTTCAACAAGTGGTGCTGGAACAGTTGCCAATTATGTACAGAAGCTATATCCCTTGCACTGATCATAAATAAAAATTAATTCAAAATAGATTATATACCAAGATGTCAGAGCTAAAATTGTGAAACTCTTAAAAAAAAAAAAAAACTTAGAAATAAAGTTTTATGGCCTCCACTGGGCAATAGTCTCTTAGATAATATACCAAAACCAGAAATAACAACAACAAAATAAGTAACTTAGATTTAGTGAAATATATATATATATTTTTTGGAGAGGTTTTTTTGCTATAGGGTGCATGCACTCACCAGAAGACAGAGACAGAGAGACAGAAAGTGAGAAATCACCCCCAGGATGGGTGGCCACGCTGCAGTCCCTTCTCCTCCATTCTCCTCTTGAGATCTTGGGAGCACACACACACGTGCCCAGCGTGAGTTTAAGCCCCTGGGGCCGGGACTCGAACCATGGTCGACCACATTGGAGTCCAGTGATATAGCCATTACGCCAACTGCTGGTCCCAGTGAAATCTTTTTGTGATTCAAAGGATGCCATCAGTCAGTGAAAAGACAACCCACAGAAGGCAAGACAATATTTATGCATTATGAATATGATACAGAACTTATTTCCAGAATATTTAAAGAAATCTGAAAAATCAACCATAAAAAATAACCCCACTGAAAAATGAGCAGAGGATTTGAGTAAACACATTTCCAAAGAAGATACATAAGGGGATCACGAGCACTTA